AGGCCTAGTGGGGTTTAATCAAGGGCAATGTCCTGAAACCCGAATGAAGGTCAAACATGATAGTGGGACAAGAGGAAAGTAAAAGGAAATAGAGGAGAGAACTAGGAGGCAAATGGGCAATTATAGAGGTCTACATATAGGCATGTACATATGTAAATATATTTAAATGTAATGATAGGGAAATAGATCTATGTACATATATCTATATGTTAAATATTAAGGTAGCAGATGAACATTGTTGGGCCTAGACTCAAGTACTCCCTCAACGCAAGAGCACGTTATTCTAATAATCCAGCATTGTGTGATATTCACATTCCCTGCACGATGGCTGATGACAAAATGGGTGCATAAACAAATGTAGTGAAGAAAGCTGATAGTGCCCGGCTATCAAAAGATATAGCATCAGGGGTCTTAAAGGCTTGAAGTTAAACAAGCAGCCATGTAGCAGAGAAGCAACAAGTCACATGGAAGAAGCACATCAGCCTGTGTGATCATGAGGTGTTGATGGGATCAGGTATCAGGCATCAAAGACCTGAACAAAAAATTATATCAATGTGAATGAGGGGCAGAAATCCAAAGCCCATCTGTAGACAATTGGTCATCCTCTTACAGAAGGGTCACAAGGAAGAGGCAAGCCAGTCAGGGTGCAGTATAACACTGATGAAACATACAACTTTCCTCTGGTTCTTTAATGCTTCCTCTCCCCCACTATCATGACCCCAATTCTACCTTACAAATCTGACTAGACCAGAGCATGTACGCTGCTACAGATAAGAGCTCGTAACACAGGGAATCCAGGACAGATAAAACCCTCAGGACCAATAATGAGAACAGAGATGCCAGGAGAGTAAGGGTAAGGTGTGGGGGAGAAAGGTGGAACCTATCACAATGATCTACATATAACCCCTTCCTAGGGGATGGACAACAGAAAAGTAGGTGAAGGGAGACAGCGGTCAGTGTAAGACATGGGGGAAGAAAAAGAAAAGAAAATTTTTTATAAATTATCAAGGGTTCATTGGGCAGGGAGATGAGGAGCTGATATCAAGGTCTCAAACAGAAAGAAAATGTTTTGAAAGTGATGATGGCAACATGTACCAATGTGCTTGACATAATGGATGAATGTATGGACTGTGATAAGAGCTGTAAAGAGGCCCCATAAAATGATTAAAAAAAAATTTCCTGGGGCTAGGATAACAGATTCAGAAAAATAAGTAATTAAACATAATGTTGGAAAAGTAGATTAGGATCAAACTGCCAAGGACCTGTAGTGCCCAGGTAGAAATTAAGGAAGATAATAGCAAGTTTTAAACTATACAGTTAGTTTCTTATAGAGCAGTATTTTCACAATACTGGACTGGTAGAAATATGTAGGTTCGATTGCTGCATGTTTAGTCTTAAAAGAAATATACAGATTAGAGGAATAAAATAGAATCTTAAACAGACTCATTATAAAGCTAATTAATTTCAACCAACATAAATTTATATAGCAATATAAATTTTTCCTATATACTTTTCCTGGGGTCAATATAACCAGGATTCTTGAGCTTTTAAAAATATGAATATAACTCCCTCCCAGGGGGACAGAAAACAGAGGAGTGGGTGAAGGGAGACATCAGTCAGTGTAAGACATGAAAAAATAATAATAATAATTTATAAATTATCAAGGGCTAATGAGGAAGGGAAGGTGGGGAGAGAGGAAAAACATGAGGAGCTGATACCAAAGGCTTAAACAGAAAACGTTTTGAGAATTATGATGGCAACAAATATACAAATGTGCTTGACACACTGGATGTATGTATGGATTGTGATAAGATTTTTATGAGACTTCAATAAAAGGTTTAAAAAAAAAAGAAAATGATGATGGCAACAAATGTACAAATGTGCTTGACACAATGAATGGATGTATAGATTGTGATAAGAGCTGTATGTGCCCCCAATAAAATGATTTTAAAAATATGAGTATAAAAATTAAAACTACTTGAAGAAAGGAAGTAGCACTGCCTAGATAGAGAGCACATAATATATTCATATTTCCAAGCTAAATAAAACCATAGAGTACCTGTCATGATAACTTGGTGAAAAAAAGGGCAATATTTTTAACAAATTGTGTTTTATCAATAGGATAGCCACATGCAATAAAAACCAAGAGAAAGAAAACAGAGTTTTGTCTCTTAAACTTCACAGCCTACACAAAACTTAACACAATGGGTCACAGACCTAAACGTCAGAGCTGAAACTTTAAAGCTTCTAGGAGAAATTATTAATGATCTTATATTTGGCAAAAGTTTCTTATGGACAAGGGGCTTCAAAAAGCTCATCTACAATGGAATTAAAAATAATACAATTTCCCATGTACTTTTTGAAGCCCCTCATATGATACAAAATTCAGGACCTATAAAGAGAAATTGATAAATCAGATTTTATCTAGTTAAAAATGTTTGCTCTTCAAAAGACATAACAAAAATTAAAAACCAAACAACAAACTGGGAAAAAAACATTTGCAGAGATGTATCTAACAAAGGCTTGAATTTAGAACATAAAAAACTCTTAGGGGAGCTGATACCAAAGAGTTCAAGCAGAAAGAAAATATTTTGAAAATAGTGGTGACAGCAACTGTACAACTATGCTTCATCTAATTGAATTATGGATTGTTATATCTGTAAGAGCTCCTAAGAAAATTAAAAAACAAAATTTGTAACAGCCCAATTTCCAAAGTGGGCTAGATGGCAGCGAGCAAAAAAGATATAAGCACCTAAAAAATGTTCAACATGGTCAGAGAAATGTACATCAAACCACAATGAGATACACCACACACTTATTAAAATGTCTAAAAGGAAAAAGACTGACCATCCCAAGTATTGGTGACCATGTAGAGCAACCAAAAACACTGCTGGTGGGAATCTGAAATGGTACGATTACTTTTAAAAAAGCGCAGCAATTCTTAAAATATTAAAGATATATCTGCCATATGATCTACCTAATCCACTATTAGGTGGTTTCTCAAGGGAAGGAAGAGCATGTATCTGCCCAAAGATTTACACATGAATGTTCATAGCAGCTTTATTTGCAAAAGCTAAAAGCAAGAAACAACCTACAACCTATCCACCAGTGAGTGGAAAACCAATTGTTAGTACTTACCAGTATCAGGGAATACTACCACCAATAAAAAAGAACTAACTCAATATACAACATTCATGGATAAAGAATTACTCTGAGTGAAATAAGTTGACCAAAAAAAGAGTGAATCATTTAATTTACATGACAGAAAGCAGATGAGACTGGGCCTGGGAGTAGGGAAGAGAAGCACAGCAGTGTGAATTACAACGGGGCACCCAAAATGTTTGTGGATGATGCCTATGTCCATTATCTGGACTATGCTAACGGTTTCACAGACAGAGAAAATGGTGTCTCATCAAATTGTTAGACTTTAAATATACATCCATAGAGTTGCGAAGAACAAAAACAGAAGTATAATAAATTATCAAAAAGTGAAGTGGGGATGTTGGGGGGGAATCTTGACACTTGAAGATAAAGGAAAATGAAGAAAACTGGTTCCTGGTGGGATACAAAAGAGCAAACGTCACCAGAGAACCTGCCAAAGAAGGTGTTAGAGGAGTTGTAAGCAGTGGTGAATTTTGATGAGAAATTAAGAAACCTGAAGACTAAAGAAGGGTTAGTGGATTTACAGAGGGGGAGACATGTGTTAAAAAAGCAAATTGAGAAGCCATTACAGAAAACAGGCACTGACACCACAATATCTGGCGATAGGAGTGCGGGAGGCCACGGAGGAGAAGCAGCAGAAGGCACTAAACGAGAGAGTTGCTATAAAAAGGAAGTTCACTTAGTGGTCACACCCCAGTGCTCCTTAGCAGCCTGGCACGCGGTGTCTGCCAGAAACCACAGATAACATGATAGACCTGTGCTTTCTTGGCATTGTTATCAAAGGTATTTCATTCATCTCTGACCAAGTCAATATTGACTTAAATTTAAAACATTTCTCGGAACATTATCTTGGCGGTCATACCTAAGAAATGACTGATGGGAGAGGACGTCTTGGTCACAACCCTGTTGAGGACTTGCTCCAGAATTTCTTGTCTGATCATCTCATGGATCTAAAAGGGAAAGAACCGATAAAAACGACGAATGGAATACTTCTTGGTGATTTGAGGTTATAATTGCGTCAATGCATGTTAGCAGAAAGCAGACAGTTTGGATATGGATAAAACTGTTTATTAGCCTAAAAGAACAGATCATATGAAAATGTTACACGTAAGACGAGTGTCAAATTGCAGTAATTCTACATATACATAGGTATCCACGACATGCTAGCATCCATACTTGTGACTGTACAAATAACCTTCATCTTAAAAATAAGTCTGAAAGCTCACAGAAATGTCTCAAAACCTAAAAAAAATTTCACTAACTTCTGTTTCTAGTAGCAGAGCAGTTACCTAAGAAAAGTCCAGTTCTAAATTTTTGTGTAAATTTTAGTTAAAATCTTACTTGTACTTGATTATTCTGAGTGACAGGCTCATTTATTTCAAACTTGAGACTGACAGATTAGTATGTAAATTGCATGCTCTTTCAGGTACGTCATTAAGTCAAATAGAACCCCTTTAGTTTTGAAGTATGTGAATTTAAAATAAAAACTATCACCTTCAGAGGGGTGAGCCACTGGAAGCTTTATGAACAGCATCATCAGATGCAGTGCCGGAAGTTGAGGCCCTCAGCTTGAAAGGCTCTCAAACTGTGACTGGGGAGGAGCTGCCTCAGAACCTCCACTGGATGGTGGGACACAAATCAAAAGAGAAGAAGTCAATACAAGTATCCATTAATAATGGGAATGTGAAAGTATGAAGCAGCTAGAAAAATTGGAAGCCATCAAGAATGAAATGTAATGCATAGATTGCTCTCCTAGGCACCAGTGAGCTGAAATGGACTGGCCGCTTTGAGTCTGGCAACCATACAGTTTACCATGCCAGGAACGACAAACTCAAGAGGGATGCTGTATCCATCAATGCTGTCTGTGATAGGATAATATCCCTACAACTACAATGGTCACTTAATACAATGATCATTCAAATTTACGTGGTAACCACTAGAGCTAATGATGAAGAAAATGAAGAGATCTACAAACAGCTTCGGTCTGAAATCGACCAAACAAGCAGCAATCAGGATGCATTGATAATTATTGGTGTTTGGAATGTAAAAGTTGGTAACAAATAGGAAGGATCAGCAGTTGAAAAAATAGCACAAGTGATAGAGATGAATTGAGAGATCGAATAGAACTTTATAAGACTACTAATTTCCTCATTGCAAGTATCTTTTTTAAACACCATAAGTGACAGTTATACACATGCCCCTCACCAGACTGATGACACGGAATTGAATTGACTACACTGTGGAAGGAGATGATGCACAAGTTCAATGTCATTATCCAAAACAAAGCCAGGGGGGGATGGTGCAAGCGAACTTCAGGTTGAAGGTGAAGAAAACCAAAACAAGTACAAGAGTACCAACATAAGGCTTTGAATATCTCCCACCTGAATCTAGAGAAGATTTGACTCACTGAACACTAATGACAGAAGACCTAGCGAGCTGTGGGATGATATCAAGAACATCAGACAAAAAAGCAAAAGATCAATAAAAAGCGAGGAAAGAAAAGATGAAAGTGGATATCAGAAGAGACTCTGAAACTTGCCCTTAATTGCTACTGCAAATGGAAGAACTGATAAAGTCAAAGAGCTGAACAGAAAACTCAAAAAGCAGCTCAAAAAGACAAATTATTATAATGAAATGTTAAAAGACCTGGAGTTAGAAAGCCAAAAAGGAAGAATACGCTTAGTATATCCAAGCTGAAAGAACAAACTCAATTCTTAAATTGCAAGACTGATGTCCCCAGGCAAAATAATGAACAGCACAGGAAGCATCAAAAGAAGACAAAGTACAGAGTCACTGTACCAAAAAGAACTGGTCAATGTCCAAGCATCTTAAGAGGCCGCAAGAACTGATGGTTCTGAAGGTAGAAGCCCAAGGTGCACTGATGACATTAACAGAAATTAACGCTGCAGGAATTGATGGAACACCAATTGAAATGTTTCAACAAGCTGACGCAGCACGAGAAGCACTCACTATACAATACCACAAACTTGGAAGGCAGCTACTTGTAAGAAACCCAAATGAATGTGAAAATGATCAAACAATATCATTAACGTCACATGCACGTAAAATTTTATTGAAGATAATTGACAGGGAATTGTCAGAAATGCAAGCTGGATTCAGAAGAGGATGTAGAATGAGGGATATCACTGCTGACATCAGATGGATTTTGGCTGAAAAGAGAATACTAGAAAGATAAACATGTTTACTTTTTACTGACTATGCAGACATTCTACTGTGTGGAATATAACTATGGACAACAGTGCAAAGAATGGAAATTCCAGAATACTTATTGTACTAAGGCAGAACTTGTACATAGATCAAGTGGAAGTCATTTGAACAGAAAAGCAGGATCCTGACCGCTTCAAATCAGAAAAGGTGACAGGGTTGTAACCTTTCACCATACTTATTCAATCGGTATACTGGGCACATAATCTGAGAAACTGGACTCTTTGGAGAACATGCAGCACCAGGATTGGAGGAAAGCTTACTAATAACCTTCGATATGACACAAGCTTGCTTACTGAAATTGAGGACTTGAAATACTTACTGATGAAAATTAAAAACTACAGCCGTAGTAAGGATTATGATGCAATATAAAGAAAACTAAAATCTTCACAATTGGACCACTAGACGACATCATGGTAAATGGAGAAGAGTGAAGTTTTTTTTTTTTTAGAAGAGTGAAGTTTTTAAGGATTTTAATTTACTTGGATCTATAATTGATGCTCATGGAAACAGGAGCAGCAAAGAAATTACATGTATTGAAAGTAAATATATTTCCGACACCAGTCTGTGTGATCCAAGAACTGTAGATAATAAAACCCAAAGCTGAAGGGAATGTTATCAGAGTTACAGATATTGATAACAGATAACAATGTTATCAATTTTCGGGGTCCATATATGGATTAAGCCTCTACTGAATCCCCTCAGACCACAGTTGAGGGACGTGAATTGCCTTGTTATCAGACAGAGAGCATTGTAAAGTTGATTATGGCTGACATAGGTTAAAATGTAATGTCTTCCCATTTGACCTCCATTTTGATATATTTTAAAGTTGTTTAAATTTAAAAATGGGTTAAGCACTGCACTGCTAACTACAATGCCAGCACTTTGAAACCACCAGCCATTTCATGGGATACAGATGAAGGTCTCTGTCCCTGCAAAGATTTACAGCCTTAGAAACCGGGAGAAGTGACTCCCCTGACCACAGACCAAGGGTGTGAAAAGCCTTGCTAGAGTTCTGCAGGTGCAGTTAGGCTAAAATGTAACACCTTATCATTTGAACTCCTCTTTGATCCATTTAAAATTTGTTCTAGTGTTTGATATTTTCTGCTTTCTTTGGTATTAGTTTGCCTGTTTTACTGTTATTGTTGTTATTCTTTAGTTTTTTAAATGTTTTTTTGTACATGAAATCCAGAAAAGGTAAATCTATAGAGATCCTAACTGGATTTGTGGTTCCTTGGGAGTGTGGCAGGGGAGTTTGGAGGAGAATTGGAAAACAATAATGTTAAGTACAAGAATGAAAAA